GCTGGACATGAATCTAATTTTTTGTTTGATTCCCCCCTCCCAATATTTCATTTCTCAGATCAAATTTAATCTCTCACTTAAATGAACTGGAAAGAATTTCTGGTATGGAATACTCATTGGTGAAAAGGTGCAATAGAAAGTACTGACATTTACATGAGATTCCTAATGCTCCTTAAGCATGTTGAAGTATTCAGGAGTCTACCAGAGAAAGAAGCATGAACATTCTCCAAGTAACAAGTAACATGTATTTTCCAGCAGCAAAGGCTGCCTCTCTGAAATGTTGCCTACTGCATTACACCACAAAACACCTACATGAGATTCAGTAACATACTTTGGTAAATAATGTACTTACAGCATGGCCAAATGGATAAAACAAATTAAAATCCCTACAAGTTCATATTTTCACAGTGCCTTTGTAATTCCTACTGCCATAATCCTGACACATAAAATGAGGCGTAAGATTATATTATACCTTGATAAAAGGGATATGGTTAGATATACCTTAAAAAGACAAACCGATATTACATGCAAATGCACTGAGAGCTGTGGTCCCAATTCTGATGAACTTAAGCCTTATTCAGAAATCTTACTGAACAGTGCTATAACATTTAAGTCAGCATGCCATTTCATATGTGTATTTCCTACACAGCATTCCATTGAAACTGTATGTAAAACTTCTGTTCTGACAGAGGATCTGGTTTTAAACTAGCACATTCAAGACTAACATTCACAGTGTTCAGAAAACAAAGACAGTAAGAAAGCTGCTTCTCCCAAAGCTATCATTTCAGAGCAGTGAAGTCTGCTGAGGGCTACTGAATCAGAAGGGGAAAAGCAGGAAGCAAGTTATGCTACAGTAGTTATCACACTACAGGATATGTAAGTGCTGCTGAATATGAATAAAAAAGAATTAAAATATTCATTCTGACCTTATAGGGGCCAAGATTCCCTCTCTCCAAAGTTACTGCATACCGAAGTAATGGCTGTTCTTCTACTCAAGATCAAATGTTTCTCAAGGCATGTTCAGTAACTTCTAACAGAATCTAATTCCACACAAAAGGAAATTGGTTATTTGTATGTTATCCAAGGAAGGCTGAGTAATTCACTGTGGTAGGAAAGACCTCTAAAAATAAGTCACCTCTCAGCAGATTCACTCCCTTCCTGTCTGGGTTTGAATCAGTTTGCAACTGCATGAAAGGACAAAGCTTGAGGATGAACTACTGAGAACTTCTGTAATGATAGCACTGCTCAAACACATTCATTTGACTCCTACTCTGTCTAAAAGAATCCAACTATTAGGGGTGGAGCAAACCAGTGACCCAACAGGATGTGCATGACCAGAGCTCCTCGTGTGTAGCCTTCTGCTTTCATGTTTATTTTTGGATGTATTTTCTTTTGTGCTCTCAAACATTTTTTTTGGCAAGGTAGCTAGTACCACACTAACTCATTGATGCTGAAGAGGGAAAGCAAGTTCTTATCAATGCAGAGTTGTTCTTCCTACAGATTCATAGAGCATCTTGGAAGTCTACAGTGTTAGAACAGTGATGAATAACTTTTTTCATGTTAGTCCTCCTCAGAGATGAAGGCCGGGGACAATCAGTGCAAAAAGGCATGTCACCAGTGATTCCCATAACCTCCTGGAGCTTCTTCATCAGGGAACAGTGTTCAGCTCTGTGAGAACCTAACCAGACATTTCATCATCTCCAATCTGCTATAGCAGTCAATGATAGAAAACAAGTCTCCAAGGATGAGTAAGCTTAGAAGTTCAACAGATGTTCCCAAACAGGATGCTACTTCAACAGATACAGTCACTAAAGAAAAGACTAGGCCATTTTAACTGGTAATTGTTGTTACCAGGACAGTATCATTTGGTTTGACCAGCATTCCCTGACTGTTAACAGCAGAGATCATAGAAAATCCTTCTGTATTTAAAGGGTTGATTGAATATGTGGTTCTGCATATTACAGAAGTTTAAGTTTATAAAACTGACAGAAGAATACTGATAAAAAAGAAAAAAGTCTGTTTAGAAGTAGCAGTCTCTTTCTTTCAGGTATAGACCCAGTTGTAATTGTACTCAAAGAAATCAATACACTTTGCTGTATATTGTGCATCAAATATGCTAATAAGCCACATCTGGTCTGTGAAACATTCTATCAATACAACTGTTAGAGCAATACAGCTAATACAGGAAAAGTTACTTTTAAATTTAAAAAAAAAATCAGAAAAATCTGTAAATTCATAATATTAAGTTATAGAGATTCTGAAAATTCTTTCTAAACTTGGAAATAACTAAAATAGGTAGGTATTATATCTTTCTCTCTCTTAAAATCTAGTTTCAGGATTTATACTAAAAGTTTCATAACCAGTACCAATAGATATTTATTTGTCTTTCAAAGAACTGCATAGATTTGTGACAGAAAAACATTTACTGCAAACATGAACTTCATCACTAGGTTTCAGTGTTAACAAATTTTTACTATAAAGGAAGAATAGTTCATAGCCCTTAGTCCTATCATTTCAGATTAGTTCTGGTTCTTTTTCCAACATTATATTCACAGTGTTTAGTTGTTCTTTCCCTCAAAAGAAGGGAAAAAGTAAATTTCCCCAAAAGTAAATTTCATGGGGTAAAAAAAAAACAAACAAAAAACTTAATCATATCTAAAATGTAAAAAATTATCTGAATGGCATGTCACTGTACTAATAACCATTTCCCCGTACAGGCTTTGTCACAGCAAAGATATATTAATCTTAGGATGAGGTAGACAGAACAACACAGCATCCATAATATAAAAAAAAGTTTCCCTGAAGAGAAGTACTTGTCTTCAGATAACAGTAACAACAACAAATACAATAATAATAATAATATACTACTGCTGCTATTTCTAGTATATTTTGGGAGAATTCTCTTAAATAATGTTCAGCCTGTTTTGAACATTCTCTGTTTATCATACCTTATCTGCAGTTTATGTAAGCTTTGGGATTAGTAGATTGCAAGGAAACAAATATTGCTTGAAAAAAACATGAACAACTTAATTCTACCTCAGCAAAGCTATATTTCATAACATATATTTCCACTCACTAAGACCACAGGGACAGCCTCCTTGAAAGAAAGCACACCAAAATACATGAAAAGTTCACTGTAAAACTGCACAAAAGGCAAAGAAGCACCACAAAGCTAAACTGTGGTCTGTGACTGACACCTGCAGCATCTGTTACGTGCTCTATGGCACACTTTCATCAAATCTGCGATATACAAGATGTGTGCTAAGGCTCCCTATGATGGCTCCCAATACTTTCAACACATGTGACCTTTTCCAAAAGCATCTGTCTCAAAAAAACTCATCAAAATCAGAAAAACTGTTAGAAATGACATTGTATTATTGATTAAAGACCAAATGACGTCAGCATTTTTGTTTTAAAACAACTTTAAATATGTTTTAAGGTTCAAAAATCTTAAGAATGGAACTTAACCTCCACTCCCACAATATTTCTGATAGGAAACCAACAACCTCTGAATACTTAGCAGGAGTCATATACATAGCAGAAATTACTCTGCTTATACCCATTACAAGTGAATTAAAAAAATGTTACTTGAGAAACCTACAACTGGATTTACTCTCCTCCATCATGAGCTTGTAAAGTACTATCTACACTAAAAATTTCTGACCACTGGCAAGTGTGGCATATGTTAAAACAGATGAGATCACTGGCATATTTAATCTTTTAATGCCATGGTCTAAAACTATAATGCAGTTCCTGTAGAGAAAAAAAAGGATGAACTGCAGAAAAATATCGCATTGTGAATTTCTTCAAATTGGCCATGAGACTTTAAGCGTATTTTATTTTAGCTGTAGACATTGCCAAAAAAACAGTACAAATTATGGCTATCCGATTCAAAGAATGAAACCTCATATTGTCAGAGCATTCAATGGCAAGCATGTTTCATTCACACATTGGTCTTTCATGCCTTGATCATGCTGCACCATTAACTATGCTCAAGGCAACGTATTTGCAAACAGGTGGTATTAGTGCTGCTTCCTCAGTCACTGTAACTAGTTGTGCATTTGATTTTCTTTCTGATACCCTTACTTTAGTACTGCTTTAGGACAATTATTTGGACTATAATAAATACTGCTCTTTCTCAGGAAAAAAGAAAGCCAAAAAAACCCTCATCTGTCTGCACTTAGGAGAGAAGCTGAACTACAATGCTACAACCAGCATCAATTTCTTCAATATAGTTAGTGTCCCTAGATCTGCAACTTTAGGACACTGTTACACCATCTGACAGCTCTACACATCACCTAAATTTTTACAGTCACCATTTAAAATAAGCTGTCAGTACAATGGTGTAAGAGTGTAGGCCAGGCCAACAGGATGCCTTCCAATTCCCAGAACACTTTTCAAATCAAGTGTAATGCTTACAAAAATGCAAACTGATTGACATTCAGTAACTTAGCACAGTAACATGTTAATGAAGTCTTCTCAGCACGGATACCAAAGTACACACAGATTATAGAATGAAGAACCTCAGCAGTACATTCTCCGCACAGGGAAGTTTTAAGGGAATAGCCATGAAATCAGTAACTTAATTTTTAAATGATCTTGATCCATCTGCAACTTCTAAACCCCTCACAGCTGGTGATAAGACAGGAATAAAGAAGAATAATTTAAAATATCAGAGTATATTAAGGATAGACTTCCTCACAAATGCTGGCAATAAAAGCAAGTTTAAGGCTAAGAAAACAACATCTGCAGTATACAAATAAATTCCACCAGAAATTTCACTTATTTCATTAGAAGCCCACAAGAAATAAATACAGGAGTATGTAATCTTGCAGCATATGAACCACTAAAAAGAAGTAAAAGGACTTCTCTTTTTGTCCAAACTAATTTAAAAGATTTACTACTTTGCTTATAGTATAAATGTGCTTCTACTTCATTACAAACACTTATATGGTTAAATCACTTTTTTCTGCATAAACTGCAAATAAATCTGAATTTACCTCCCAAAGTGCTTTAAAGTCCTTCTGCTCAATTCGAAGGAGCTCACTATATTCTCTGGTAACGATGGTAGCATGGCGAGGAGTGTTATCCAGAATGGACTCTCCAAAAGCAGTTCCTATTCCCAGAGTGCATATTGTCACAGCATCCTTTGAATTAAAAATAAAAGGACACATGTTAAATATTCCAGGATTCCAGTTTTAACAGTCTTTATGTCACATTTGCTAATAGCAGTGCCTTAAGATTCTTCAGCAATTTGCTTTAAAAGAAAATTATTAAAAGTGCTAGCAAAAAAAATCAATATGCTGATTAATAACACAGGAAGCCTCAATGTGGAAGCAAGTAGGACTTCTGTTTTCTATGACCATCAGTTGAATTACACATTTCTGACTGCAAAGCAGAGAACACAAGAGTCACCTTCACCTTTGGAAGAAAGCTATGGCCTCTGTTCATCTACCTCTAAAGACTGTTGTGATGACAAAATCCTTTAGAAATGTCAGGGGTGATCAGAAGATAACTAGTATCAGAAATGCAATCTCAGAATATAAATTTCTGCCCTATATAGGCTACCCTCATCAGAAAGAAAACTTGACTGTTATGTTTTCTCAGTAAGCATAATTTTCAATTATAATATACTCTTGTATTTATAATGCAGTTATCTGTTGTACAAGGTCTGTGCGCAATGCAGTTGTACAGTTCAATCAACTCTTGGCCTTTCCATTGAAAATGCCAGTAAATCTCTCAATTGTTAATGGATGCCTGCTGATTAAGTACCAGCCTAAAAAAAAAATAAATTCTTTTCACATAGGTCAGGGATTTCAAGAGAACTATTAAAAGTCCAGAACAACCTGGAATAGAGTATTCAGGACAGTCCTAAGCATGCAGTAACATCCACTTCAAAAGAGTCTATGTGAGCACATGACATTCATGTGATGGAGAGATGTCTAAATCAATCCCCTTTGGCCAGCAACTCCTCTGTAATAGTTCCAATATAAATTCTGAGCTACTGCAGACAAATAATTAGAGTACTTGAAATTAAATAACTTGCTGAATCAAGATCTTTAGATACATTTTCTATTTTAAGCTTACAAGTTCCTGTGTTCCTGAGCAAAGCCTCGAAGCTGAACATTTACATATCTCTCTTTCTAAGTTGGGCCTTAACTGACTGCCTTTTGAGTAATTATAAAAAAAAAAATAGCAACAGCATTAAAAATGTAAACTGATACACTCAAGTAAGGAAATCATACATGCACACAGACAAATACACATAAACATACACAAACGCACTCCAATTTTACTTGATGCAACATTAGAAATATAGTTTAATTCCAAAGTATAGGATTCATGAAATGTCTACAAAATAAAAGCAGAAAATTTTGTCTTCCCATCCACTACATCCTTGTGGTTAATAATCCAGGAGAAATGCATGAGCATATTTCAGCATCATTTTCTGTGTTTAAAATCACATTGTTTTCCTTTCATGCATCTAATAAGTGGTAATAGGCAAATGTTATTAAGATCAAGTTAGTAGCTTTATAATTGCATTACAAAGACAAATGCCCATAATAGTCCCGTTCCCTGAACCATAGCAAATTGCCTTTGCACAGATATTACCATATAAAATTATGTGTTCAGGAAAACAAAATCAATTATGTCTCAGAAAAGATCTAGGAAGAATTTACCAACTGTCAGAAATAAATTTTCAAGGAAGGCAAATATGAACAGACACTGTTTAAAAGAAAGAATATTTCGGAGTGAGCACCTAGGCACCTAAATAGAAGTCTCTACAAACAGCCTATAATACAGGCTATACACTGTTCTGTCTTAACAAGCTTACTTTTCAGACCTGAAACACTATATCCATGCTACCATATTCACAACTGCACTCAAAGGAGCTACAAAGAAAATGGGCCTACTGCTCACACAAAATTTGATCTCCAGGTCTCCAATACATTATTCTCTACTTTATTTTAAAAGTTCAGATAAAAGATGTCTATTTAGGGCAGAATAAGCAAATAGCCTGGCAGAAAAGGAAACTTTTCCATTAGGTGGATCATAAGCAATATTTGTATCTTCCAACTCCTTTCTCACTCCCTTCCCTCCCTCCAAAAAAATAAACTCCTTTGAAATGCTTCACCTTTGATTCTTTACAACCCTAAGGAATATATCTTTAAAGACGGAATAGAGAAGAAGAGAAAAGGAAAGGCGTTGGTTAAGGAACCACTTCCTAAGATAACTTCTGATGAGACAGCTGTTCAGCCTGAGAAATAAATTAACATTGTGGGGTGTTAAGTCAAGGAGCTGGAATAGTCCTGTCTATGTTCATTAAAGAAAAGTCCAGGCTTCTATCAAGTCAAAGGTGTTTCAGGCTTTTTCCCCAGTCATCACTGCTCTCCACTGAGATGCAGTTTCACAGCCAGCTAGGGAGCAAGCCCATCTGTCTTCTTCAAGACTTCAGAGCCCCATTTTCTCTCTCCCCTTTGTTTATACATCTCCAGCCTCCTGGGGAATCAGGTGTGCATTTCCTATTAGGCCTGTTAACCTTACACGCAAGAATCTCCTGCTGTTCAGTGTAGACTTCAGGAGGACTGCTGGCAGCTCAAAATTCAGTTTACTGTTCCCCTCTGCAATCCCAGAAGCAGCAGGGGGTTCTAGCTGCTGGTAACCAGCTAAAATTCACACACTTATTTAAAAGGCAGTATTAAAGACTTAAAAAGATGAGATTGTTTCCATTGCTATCTGTCCTCTGAACACACTATAAAATGGTAGCGTTCAAATCAGAGGCTGTTTGTGTATTCAGTTTCACTGACTCTCACTGGCAGAGAGACACATGCAGTGAAGAGCTGTTAAACCCCCCCCCCCCCCGTCCCCCATCAATCTAAAACATTATTGGATTCGTACGACCATTCTATGGAATGGATGAGAATCAGAAAAAAGGCTCTGCCTTATCCCCTCCCCCACCATCACAAGGCACAACCCTGCATGCTCCTCCCTGACTTGTGACACTTTCTATTTTCCAACCTGGCAAAAAGAATTTTTGTATTGTGCGTAAACAAAATCATGGTGTCTGAAATAGAAATGAAGAAAATAGGAAAAAAAAATACAAGTGCTAGGTTGAAGGGATTAGGCACTTTTCTTTGAAATTTTAGTTTATCCAATATTTTGAGTTTATAAGGGAGCTGATGTAGCTAGTTTGTTTTTAATATCATCATTTTCCCACCCCTTGTACCTTTAACTCACCTCTGCATCTGTGTCCCTCCAGGACCTCATACCATCTCCATGTTTAATTGGAGATCTGCAAAAGCTGGCACTTTGAAAAGTTTGCTTATTATTACTACTTCTTATTGCTTATTATTATTACTTTGACACAGTTCAGTTTGTCCTCAGCAAAAAATTCCTTTTATAACAGAGAAACCAAAGGATACAAATGAAAGCAAACTATCTGTTCTACGAAGTGATTTTCCTGGTCCATCAACTCCACTGGAGTATGTTTCAGCCGTTCAGATAAGAAATCCTTACCAAACTACTTGTAAAGATAACATAGAAATATCTTCCCACACTAGAATTGCAGTTTACCAACGCATATTAGGCCATCCTCTTTATATACAAGACAAGGTGATTTGCTTAGAGGAGGCATTATGCTTCTAGAAAGACTGTGACCAACTTCTCTTCTAGTTCCTAATTAAAACATTTACAGAGCAGATTAATTGTAGTGTAATAATGTTCATTATTTCCATACTTTTCTATCTGATCTTCTGAAAGCTACCTGCAATGTCTTGGACTTTTTGCTACATTACCTGGCAGGCAGAATTGAAATCATTTTTCTATATTAACTTCCAATAAGCTAAGTTCAAAACCTAAATTAGTACAAGCATGATACTGTGGAGCTTAGCATGGGCCAACACACCCTGCTTCTCAGCTGAGTACATTAGTTCAGCCAATCTCTGTGTTACAATGGGTAGAGCAGTTCTCATGCTCAAACTAAATAATTTAAAGCTAGCTTGGCCATATTTACACTGCACTACAGGCTACAATACAAACCTATGTCATGACTTCATGTAGGTCATCTCCAAAATACATAATGGCTATTTACATGCATACATATGGCATTTACGTGCAGAAAGCAGTATTGCAAGGACTGCCCTGTTTAAATCCCTTTCCTTCAAACAGTCAGGAAATTCTTCCCTTTCTTACATGGGCATCTGAACCTCTTTCTTCACAGTCATTCTTCTCAGCAATCCCACTAACTGATTTGCCTTTTGCTCCCCAGCCCTCTGCATCTTCTTACAACTGACACTGCTGTACCACCCAAGCTCCCACAAGTTTAAAGCTTTTCTAAATAAGGCTAACTGTTTGCAAAGCCAATGCCCTGTGTTCAGTTTGGTCTGTTTTTAAAATCTGATCAGCCTAAAAAAAAAACCACCACCAAAACATAGGCAAGATAAACCAGCAATAGCCCCCAGCACACACTACAATTCAGCTGGCAGACGACAGCAGATCAAAATGCTATTTGGTCTTTGTCTTTCTTCTCCTCATTCCTTCCTATTTTATCAGATAAGAATATATATCTTAATCATTTGGGGCAAAAGGCTCTGAATCTAATTCAGTAAAACACAATGCCACAGAATCTGGCGAAGATGTCACACTGATGCTTTCGTCATAATGCATTTGTTGCCAGCTTTATCCTGAGATGTTACCAACAGTCATCCTTCAGAACCTGTTCATTTTCAAAATAGACTCAAAAAATTAAACATATACGAGGCAGTCAGCAGTATTTTTAAGACAACAATAAACCTAGGAATATCTCTAAGAGGAACTTTTGTTACTGTATACTTCAGTTGTAACGTTGGGTAGGTAACAGCTCCAAATAAAAATTAAATTCAGAATCTGTTCATAATTGAGGGTAAAGACCTCTTTCTGACAGATTCTAAACAAGCTACATTTTCTGTTTATTTTGAAGAGGACTTACTAAACCTTTGTGTGTCTTTTAAGTACAATATTTATCAGGGTATTTGTTACAAACAACTTGAGGTAAGCCCAAAACAGTTCATTACACTTACCTCTGCAATTCACAGTGTGACATTTTTACCTTAAAAAAAAAGTCCTCTTCAGTCTCTTCTTGATTGTTGAATAGCCAAAAAATTCATAAATAATTTGTATAGAAAGCAGACCAGCCACCACTAGGATGTACTGGATGGGTAATCCTGTCAGAACTCTATATTGTAAATTGTATTGTCCCATTTCAACGGCAAATGTTACAGTCATGATCAGCACCGGCTAGCATGTTTTACCACCTCAGTGGAACAGAACTAACAGTAACAGAGAAATTTGCGCTGATCAAACTCTTTGGCATATTGTAAATAGTTGAATATGATTTTCAAACGAGCCATTTTAGTATTAAATATTGCCTGTACTCAGTTTGTTACGTATTCTAACACTGCCCTCTTGTGACATAATACAATTTTGCAAGCAGTCAGGGTTTTTCCAAACCAAAACGAAAGCAAGGCTTTATCTATGAGATCCTAAATACACGTTTGTCTTTTTATTAAAACATTTAAATCAGTATGCTTCCTCTTCTCGTAACAGCGAATAATATGTAATGTTAATATTTCTGTTTATATGAATTCTCAACTTCGTCCTAATCAGTATTACTAACATTTTCTGTAAGAAATCACAGGTCTCTGCATGAATAAACTAACATGCAGCAAGAATGTATATGAATTAATCCTTCACTAGCTACACTGAAGTCTTGGTCCATTAGTGCATTTAGATATAATTTCTAGTGCAAGACATGTAACCACATGCCTCTGTAGGAGCAAAGGCCATTAAGACATTCTGAGTAAGCACTAAGTGCACAGTAACTTACTGGACTTTTAATGGGAAAAAACTACAAAACACCAAAGGTGACTGCAAAAGAGTTAGTACATGGTAGCTACTGCACAACGCATTTATTCCCAGATTGCTGAAATTAAAGTTACCCAGGTAGACAGATGAACACCCAGTAAAAGTGGGACTAATATATTTTTGATCAAGACAATTGATTTTCCATATTTACATTAACACTGTAGGCATCGGCATATAATCATAGGATAATTTGAGCTGCAAGAAAACTCAGGAGGTCACCTAGTACAACCTCCTGCTTATCTTAAGTATTAATAGCTTATTAGTCCTGTCTAAAGATTTTTTAACCAATAGGAACCTAAATACAAAGTTAGCTTCTCTCTTCCTAGAAAAGATCGCATAATCCTGTACTTTTACACAAGACTACAAACTTCTAAACTTGTAAACTCAGGTAAACTTCCATATCTCTTCTGCTTTGCTGGAAGTTTCTCATTAGCATTAGTGTCATTTCTGGTATAATAGTAACAGCAGAGCAATTAATCATTCCTATGACTTTGCAAAGGAAGCTTTGGCTCCTGGGTGCTGTTATTGGAAAGTATGCTCCAGGGTAGGTTACAAGCATCCCTACATCTTAAACACTGGTCATCCATTCCCAGCTGGGAGCACAATGCTGCCAACTGAGACTGTCAGGGCTGCACCTGTGGAGCTACACTGTATTTCCTCCACCATCTGGGTTTGTAGTGAACACAGTAGGCAAGGGAGTGCTAGCAAGTACTTCAAGCTCAAGAATGACTAGCACCATGCCAACAAGGAAGTACAGGCAAGACTGGAACAGGGCACCCAGGAGCTAAAGGTAGGACAAGGAGCCGAAGACCAAAGACCAAAGATGGACAAGGAGAGACATGGTATAAACACCAAGCTAGAGCAAAAACAGAGAAAATATTGGACTCAAATACTATTTAGGAGTCCCCAGCCATCAAACTTATCCAGTACTGGAAAGGTAAATGTATGAGCTGCTGTCCTTTTGGCAGTGAGGCTCTATCCTATGGCAACTAGGCAGTGGTAAGAATTCAGTTCATTGTTCCTATGAGAAGGAAACATGAGGTTAAGAAATTACTGCAGAATATAATTTCTAGAACTAGAACTACATAAATTGTAGTTCTGTAGTTTCCTATTGGCAGGAGAATGCAATGAACCAGAACAAGCAGAAAAAAATATTTACAATAGATTTCTTAAAACGCTGAAATGTTCCATCCTCCATCTAAGGGAACAAATCAACACTCCAAACAGATTCTTAGTTTAACTAGCTTCCACATCCAGAACACTTTTGTGGATATATTTCTTTCTGATTCAGTAAAGAGCATTGGTCCTTAACGACAGTGTAGTGCCATCTTTTGGCAAACACCAGAAAATACTCCTGATTGCTTTAGAGCTGCACAGAAAAGCGTCTCATAAGAGCCCAGTACTGTCCAAATTGTGACAATACCAGTGACAGCCAGGCCATGCTGAGAATTGCTCAAATTAGGCTAATTATACTCTTAATCAGTCTCTACTTAGTATAGTGAAGAGGTTGCTAAAAATGATTACATGAAAGAAGTTCCTTTTGTATCTATCATTCTACTGTAAGAAGTAGGAAGATCCAGTGCTCACACGCTGCCCTGATGTGCATTCTGATGCAATTTCACTGGTGATGCAGTGCTCAACAAAGTGAAAATCCAATTTCTGACAATCTGCTATAAGCACAAAACCTTCCCCAATCAGCCAAACTTTGGGCAAAGAATACACCACCACCCCACTCCCCACACAGGCTATATTCAGTCAAGGTGGGAAAAAGGGATAGTGGTGTACTTCAGGTCCTGAGTAGCTATACCACTCATGTGAAGGCACAATGGGTCACATGTCAGCGGTACAACCCCATGCTGAGCTACATGATGGGACAATCCCAGATCTCAAACATGGGAGCGGGGAGTGGGACATGATGCCTTCCCAGAAGACTCGGCTCACAGCAAGAAGTGCATGACTTGTTGCCATGACGTTAGATGACATGGGTGGGAAACTCTCTCCAGGAGAAATATCTCATCCTTTTTTTTTTGTTTATTTACTCTAAATTCCCAATTTTCTAAATCCAGGAGCGCCAAGGTACTGAGAAATCACTTGTTCTTCTAATTCTTAACACTGAATAGGTATTACCTCCAGGACTCTGGTCTAACATGGCAGCAGTTCCAATACTCTGTTATTACTATAATACTTTCCCATTCTTGCAGTGGAGACTGCAGTGTGCTGTTACCAGACTGAACTGTTGGTGGGTTTGGTTTGAACTTTCTGAGCAAGGACTGAATTAAAATATTTCCAGGGAATGAATTAACAACTCTTAGATCTTTAGCTCAACTTCATAGGGCACTATTAGAAAAGACAGAGGAGTCTTGTTTCATGTTAAAATGTAGACCCCTTTTCAGAGCACTACATTTCAGTTTTCCTGAAATCAATGGCATGATCTGCCTCCATAGACAAAGGACAACTGAGACTAAAGGAGACTCAGAGCAACACGCTTGTGATAAGACAAAACATCTGTAAGATATATGTCATTGTCATCTACCTCAGCCTAAGTCATACCCTTTCTTTGTACTACTGACTAGATGGTTTCAATGAAAAATCTATTTTACCTGGTGGTTGCTTGTATCAGAAACCTTCACATCCAGTGATCCCGTCAGAACAGCATACCAGTTCGTCCCAATATCACCCTGACGGAATACTGGAAAGATGAAAACGTGTAAATAAGAGGCATCTCTTTAAGTTTAGCAACATTAACAAACATTTGCCCTCATATTACTGTACTACTGTAGTCACTGCTGGCACTATAGAATTTGCCATATCAGACTACATACTTACTATTACAATAATATTTCCAATGACACTGGAAAACACGTATTTTAGTAAACTGGTCGATACACTACAGAAACAATGAAAGCATACAGAATTGCTTCACTTTCCCCCAGTTTGCTTCTCCACTGCTTAGTTAATAAACAAAACAAACAAACAACCCCCCCAAAAGACTTTCTGAACAATGACCCTTTGAAATTCACAATCTTCCAATGCAGACACAGCTCCCACTGACTTCAGTGAGTTCTGTCTGAGAAGCAACTGCAGGACTTTGATGTTCAGTCATTCCAACTGTGTGATTACAGAGCATCACAATTCCTCTTATTCTAAGCAAACCCCAGTGCTGTGTGCCTAAAGCATGCCAGATTTACCTGAAGGGTACCTGAGACACCATAGGTCTCCATCAGCTATTACCCTGGTACAGCTCTGGGAATTCACACATTCCCATCAAAGGACCACCACTTATTTCCATATCAGCTTCACAGACCAAGCACAACTGTCTACCTTCATCTGGCACATGGGCTGCCTGAGCAGGCACAGAGCTGTTGCACCCCACGGCAGTATGCAGCTCTGCAAATCTGTCTTGTGTTACCCAGAGTGACTGCAAACCACACACTATTAGCGATATGCCTAGGTAACACACTTTTGCCCCTGACATCACAAAGCACCTACAAAAGAGATCAATAATACATTTACAGGAAAAGAATGAGGCTCAAGTGCAATGACTTGCTTCTAATCTTTCAACAAAACAGTGGCAGAGTACTAAACCCAATAATGCGTGCCTTGTTACCATAGATTCACTACACACTGTATTTGTAGAGCAAGCAGCCCTTTAGTCCTGCCTTCCCCCAAGACTACGACTGTAAACATTTTTAAGGCCATCCACTGATTGTGCTCTCATTGATCTCCTAGAGACAATCCCAGCCTAACCCCCAATTTTATCTACATAAAATAGATCATCATATGAAGCTCTCTTACATGTGATTCCCTTTTCCAGATTTTCATAATATCCACAGAGACATATCTGCTGGAGAAGGTTTGGATGAAATTTCTCAAAAGCTTTCACTTCTTTCAGTCGTGTGAATATTATATCTACATCTTCACTGGAACGTTCCAAAGGTCTGCAAGAAAATAAAGGACAAAATTCTCAAGGGCTTTATCAGAGAAACATCCCCATCTGCATGCACCAAACTTACAAATGTTAGCATTAGACATCACACTATAATATTAAGCAATTAAAATGCATTTCAAAGGTACATAATGAAACCCTTCCAAAAGATCCTAACAACTGTCCGTTATCAACTTGAGCATAATTATTATCATTTCAACACAGGCAGAGTCCAGAAGCCCCATTTAGCACCACAGTCCCGCCATAGCAATTACTGTAAAAGTATACATGATGATACAGTCCTTATCCTAAAGAGCTTAGAATGATATATAGTTTTAAGTTTGGAAGGGAACACAAACAAACAGATGTCCAAACATACAAGACGTCTGTGGAATTGGTGATCAAAATAGAAGTTCTCTTTCTAGCTAAAAGAAAAGCTTTAGATATCAGCAGTAACACCTATGTCCCCACCTCTCTTCTGCATTTTACTGGGTACAAACTAACCTGAGTGTTCCATTTTCTCTTCTCACTTGCAAGCAAGAAAGACAATGTTAAGTACATTCTCTTTCACGCAGTTCCTGTCTCTTAATGTTGGACAAGCAAGAATGGTAACTCTTCATTGGTAAGGGTAAAGAGTTTTAATCCAAATATTTAAAATACTTAAAATCTATGACAGTAACACCTTTAAAAAAACAAGATTTCAAGAAAAGTAAAAAAACTACTACATATTTATGAAAGTAAAGTGATTTAGCTCCATAACATATATTTTAAATGTGATTATCAAACTTTATGAATCAGCAGGTAAGCCAACCACTAACTGACAGCATTAGAAAGAATCTTTCATAACAGACTAAATGCCTCCCACTACAGACAGAAACGTTGAACATTCCTAGGAGATCATGCTGGATCAGATGCAGAAATTATTTACGTATAAAGGGGTATCAGAAAGATAGACAACTGTCTGTGATCATTAGACCTATCACTCACTCAAATGCTGCTTGTTAATTTTACTGACAAAAATGTTCTTTTAGCCAGTGGATGAGCTTCTAAATGAACAGAAGTCAGGTAGCTTATAATGAACCAAGAGTAAGTTCACAAATACATATATTTATTGTCTTATTATTATACCCACAGCGTAAGCACTCCTTCCAACAGAATGTTTTTTTAAAGATTCCTCTTTGGAATCAAAGACTTAAGGGATCCAAATCTTTGTCTCACAGAAGAAGCCCAGATCATACTCACATTGAATCTCTGCCTCTCATCTTTCTTATTAAATTAAGTCTAGGAGGGATTAAATCTCTATCCTCATTTATACTCCAACTTACCCTTATTAAATACAGATGAGAATAATAACTCTCCAGTATATACAGTTGCTTCTACACCACAATGACATCCTCTTACCACTTCAAACCACAACCAACTACAGCATCTCCCCTTTGAAATATTTCAAGTAAGATTTTCACCCATTCCTTTTTTTCAATTGTGCACAGGCTGACAGGTACTAATAAGCATTAACTCTCTTGTCAAAATCCTTTTAAGAAGATTAGGAGGTGCGGCTTGCAAACAGATTTAAAATCCGTTTATATAAGATCCCTACCCAAACTACACTAGCACTTGGAACACTAACTTCCTTAATTTATGGACTCTCAAAATTAACAGCAAAACCCAACAAGGAAAAAAACGAAGATCATTCTCAGAATATCCCCTTTTCCTAGAAAAACTGCATCTGGGACTGTTTCATTCATACAGCTGCTCACAGCTGACTCCGCTGAAGTCCATCAGTTCATTTGCACAGAATTGACTGTAGGATCTCAGTGTTTAGTGGTTTTAATTATTTGATGCAAGCAAACAGGGTTAGCAAACATGCAACAGGTTGTATCAACTTAATCAACACTGTTCTCTCAGTGCTCTTTCTGAAATGCAAGTACTTAAATCTCTTCCACTTCTGGTCCTGTCAAAAGGACAAGATTTGGGGGGATTTAATTCATGGACTGTGTAGCTTTTCTTCCTGAGTTTCTGAAGGCTCAAGAGACGGGGTTTCCATCTAGTTCAGAAGAAGGTGAGAGCAGGGCTCACTTCCATTGATGTGGCAAGGAGTGTCTTGTGTCAGGCAGACAAACTGCAGGAAAAGCTCTTTCTTCTGACAAAACTGCTTCATGACCCCAGTAAAATGAGTCATCATGGAAGGAGAAGCATTCTCACAGGTAGCTGAGCCACACTTTTCAGAGTTTTAAACATCAGCACAGCAGTGAGAAACCGAACTCCATATTTGTTGGGAAAGACAAATATTTAAGTCGTATTCCTAGTGGCTTACTTCAGGAAGCAACTGAGCTACAACACTTTGTATTAGCAGCAGCTACTTCCACCAGGAGTACGTAAAGTGGGCATTTGAAGAGGGACATGCAGACATGCTCTAAACAAAAAGAGGGAACCAAACTTCTGAGTAACATGCATAGTAGTAATCTGAAAATTGTTATATTCCTTGAAATGTTTCTTAATAATTAATTACTGCAAGCCATTTGTTTCAGTAGCCTTTCTTCAAAATGTACTGGGTTTAATATTATTGTGTGCAACTAAATTTCCACAAATATTTTCACTGGGAGGGCACAGGTTTTGATCCAGCACATTTGGAAACAAAGCTAGAATTTGGGAGAGGCTTGCAGTAAATGATTTAACTATTAATCTATATTAGAAAAGGTCCCTTCTCTTCCAGCTGTGTTTTACCACACACACACACGCACACACAAAAAAAAAAAAAAAAAAAAAAAAAGCAGGAGCAAGCAAAGAAGCATTTTAACTGTACCCCAGAATAACAACGTACTGACGTCTCTCAAATGAGATACACAGACAAACATCTAGTTTAAGATGTAGCTGTTTGGTTAAGATCATGAATAAGCATAAAAATTAACTAGGATCTAAGTTGTTTGACAACAAAACGCCTTCAGATTTGATCAGAGCTCCTGGGAAATGTCCTCAATGTTTAGGAGTAAGGTATTAACTAACACTAGGTGTCCCAAGCTGAGGTGGTCCTTAGTCCTTAGGACATGGAATTTTGCCTGTGTAAAAACTCCAGATCGCAGTGTAACAATAACAGTAGTAGCACTCAAACTTACTTAAGTGCTTGTAATCTAGAACAATGAGACTGATTTTCTAAAGTTTTATTTAGTGAGAGTGTGTAATGAGAATAATAAAATACTATGCCATCAATTAACTGCTTTTCCACATGCCTGCAAAACTCAGGCAAAGTTTGACCACTTTCTACAAAGTATATATTAATAAAATTGTCATCACTGTAACTGTTGTCATCATAATGAAATTAATATTAATGAATTTATTTATGATGCCAAATTTTGTTTTCTATTTCCTAAGTACAAGCTGCCTAGCATGGAACAACATCAGTACAGGATGTGAATTTACTTCCTCAATGCAGCCATCTTACTAAATTGCTGTAAACTTGGCTTTTTTAAAGCATAGTTTGGAATAATATTTAAACAGCTAATATTATAATATATTCCTTAGAACATTAATGATTAAACCTATTAATTAGAAAAGTATTACTGATGGCAAATGGAGAATTATTCAAGCTTTAATGTCACTGTAGTCACACTGCTAAGAGGCAGCGGTATTAACCCAGAAAGGAACCATTCCCCAAACCAGGCAGATGGGCCACAGAAGTCAACCCCAAGGAGGTGAATCTCTACACCCCCACATGGCTCCGAAAGCCTCTGGAAAGGCTTTTCCAGAGACCATATCAGAGCACCCAAAGTCACTCCTCTGTGATCACCACTGCTGTTCGCTAGAGAGCAATCTCACTGAGCTTAGCCCCCTCTGCTAAACTGGTGCTGGTGAGGATGTCCTTCCGTTCTGTTCTGTGACATTGATGCTGGTGTGCTACTGGTGTCCCCTCACTGCTGATGCTGCAGAGTTATAACATGATATCCATGAGCATAAGAAGCTAAAAAATGCATTTTAGTGGGACTTCAACTACCACTGGATTTTCTGCTAAGCGTACTCCTGTTTCTGAAAGCTCTAGCTCATTGTATAGAATAGGACCATAGATGAATCTAGAAGTGTGGGCAACTCTCTTAATTAAAATTCTTCAGTTCTCAACAGTTTGGTAGAGGTATCAGCTGGAGCAGAAGCATTTTAAGGCAAGGCAATCCTTCCTGTAGAAAACCTCTATCCAGTGAAGCACCCACTTCCTAGGCTGCCTCACCCAATTTAAGGTAACTTTTAAATAAAACAAACTGTGGAAGTGTTACATTTATCTTCATCAGGTTTTTGCTTAAAAAAAAAAAACAAATCTTCTTACTCCTTTTTCCCAATTTTTCAGCATCTTTGTGGGGCAGCTGCTGCTATCTCTCCATTTCCCTTGTCTGCAGGCTACAAGCCCAGAAAGAGCTGCTGTAGTCACCACACTTCACTACTGGCCCGGCAACCGTAACTGAGTGGGTATCATGCCACAGCAAATGCCAGGACAAAACCACGCAGGAGGAATGACTGATTTGGAAATGAAAACTTCACGCTTAGTATCTCTTACCATGAAGGATAGCGCATGGGTGACACTCCTACTCCAATCTTCAATATGATTTTCCCTCAATTTGTACCTCAGCAGGTTCCTGCGCTGACATCTCATTTCACTGTGGCCAAAGTGAGGTGGGCATTTCCAGTGTTGCAAAGCAGGGCCACAGAACGATTAAGAAATGATGAAAAGCAAAAGTATTTAATTTATTTTCACTACCCTACAAGCCTTTCTGCTTTGTTTGACCACAGAATGCTTGATCCAGCTCCTTATTTATATTACTGATTTGCCTCTTCAGAGCATAGTAAGTCTTATACAGCAGTAATGTTTTCACACAAGATGTCATCTATCTTCTCCTTCTGCCTCTTCAATAGAACATCACAGCATACATATACAAGCGACAGCATCAATGCTAGTTATACATCTCTATTCAATTATGGCAATAAGGCTTCTGTAAAGGGTATTTTATCCTTGATTTATTTGGTTGTGAA